CCGCACGAGGGGCTTGTGAGCCACAGTGTCTGCCAGGAGCCGACGTGCGGGACTCGGTACCGTGGCCCTCACCCTCGTCCGTGTGCAGTGAGGTCGCCAGGAGCCGAGGACCCCGGTCACCCTTCAGGCATCTCCCAGGTTCAAATGCCCATGCAGTCATTTCTGACCCCATTTTTTCTCCATCTCCTGAAACATTTTCATGGCCCTCTAGACTTCAGGGTTCATGATCAGTAAAAACCCCCAACTTTAACACTCCCTTCATCATCTGCTCTAACGGAAACCTGGTTCTCCCCAAAGGACCCTTGACCAGTAATGGAAACTTCCTGCCCCCACAGCCCCAGTTGCAGGATCTTTTTACACGTTTATCTATTCAACTGAGCCAGGTCTCAGCTGTGGCACGAGGGATCTGGGATCTCCGTCGCAGCGTGAGAGAGCTGCAGTTCCGGCACGCGGGGTCTAGTTACCTGCTGCTGCTGTTGTTTAGTCCCTATGTCCTCTGCAACTCTGTTGAGACCCCATGGGCTGTAACCCGCCAGGCTTCTCTGCCCATGGAATTCTCCAGGCAAGAATACTGGAGTGGGTTACCACTTCCTTCTCCAGGGGATCTTCCTGACGGGGGATCAAACCCGCGTCTCCTGTTTGGCGGGCGGATTCTTTACTGCTGAGCCACCGTCCAGCCTCCTGCTTTGGGAGCATGGAGTCTTAGCCGCTGGACAACCAGGGAAGTCCCAGCTTGCACAGTCTTAATTCCCTGACTTAGTATGATCTCCTTGCAGTCCAATGGACTCTCAGAGTCTTTTCCAACATCACAGTTCAAAAGCATCATTTCAGAGAGTGGGATGTGGCATTCTAGTGGTTAAGATTCGGCACTTTCACTGCTGAGGGTTCAAAGCCTAGTCAGTGACAAAAAAAGATCAATATTTTCAATATTTTTATTTATTGCTGTGCTGCACAGCTTGCAGGATCTTAATTCCCTGACAGGGGAGGGAACCCATTCCCTGCAGTGAAAGTACGGAGCCCCAGCCACTGAACCACCAGGGAAGCCCCAATTTTCTTCTCTTGCAGAATATACATAGTGGGCCACCATCTGTTTGGGCTTCCCAGGTGGCTTATTGGTAAAGAATCCACCTGCCAACGAAGGAGACACAGACGTGAGTTTGATCCCTGGGTCAGGCAGATGCCCTGGAGGAGGAAATGGCAGCCCACTCCAGTATTCTTTCTTGCCTGGAGAATCCCGTGGACAGAGGAGCCCGGAGGGCTATAGTCCATGGGGTTGAAAAGGGTCCGACATGACTCAGCAATTGAGCACACTCACACAATGTGTAAAATATATATGTATTTGCTTGCGTGCTACATGCTAAGTCACTTTAGTCACACCTGACTCTTCGTGATCCTATGGACTGTAGCCCGCCAGGTTCCTCCGTCCATGGGATTCTCCAGGCAAGAATCCTGGAGTGGGTTGCCAGGCCTTCCTTCAGGGGGATCTTCCCAATCCAGGGATCAAACATGCATCTCTGCATCTTCTGCTTTGGCAGGCATGTTCTTTACCCCTGGTGCCACCTGGGAAGCCCTCTATTTGCTTGTAGTATATATATTTATTCAGGAAACTGGTTATAAAGTGTATCTCCGGTATAGCTGGGGGGATTTAAGTTATTTTCACCCTGTATGCTTTGGCACTTTTTGAATTCCTTACTTTTTGTATTATAACTAGTTGTGAAGGAGGACAGACACTTCCCCCATACGATACCTTCTGAATTTGACCTTTTGCTCAAGACTCTGAGTCCCTCAGTCACTCTTATTTTTCCCAATCAGTTCCTTTTTGGCTTTCCTTTTCTCTCAGTTGATCTGGGACTCCTCCATCCACCAATCAGCCATGACTGAAAGAGCACCATGATTTCCATGTTTATATTTCTCAAACTAGAGCAAACCAATCATGCATAGTCTTCTTCTTTCTCTAGAACAATTCTTTAATATTTTTCAAAGTGTGGTCTGCAGACCAATTGTGTCAGAATTTTGGGGGAATGCTGTTAAATTGCAGATTTCCAGACCTAATCTCAGGCACTTTGAATCATGCTGTGCATTGTATTTAAATGGTAGGAGTGATTCTATTACGGAAATTATTTCATTAACCCCTGACCTTTCCATTGGTCAAGGATATTTATTCATCCACCAATGCTGAGCTCCTGCTGTATGTCAGGCAATATAACTGACCATCTAGACACTGCCCCTGACCTTGTGAGGCACTTCCCAGGGACATTCTTGGGATGCTACCAGTTTTTTGTACCATTTTGGTGATTAAAAAGTAGCGATGAACCCTTTTAAAAATTATTTTTTACTGCGCTGCCTTGTGCACAGGCTCTTTGTTGCTGTGAGTTGCAATGGGTTCTCTGGTTGTGGAGCACAGGCTCTAGGGCTCTCAGCCTCAGAATACAATACTGAGCCTTAGCTGCCTGGTGGCATGTGGGATCCTGTTTCCTGGACCACAGATCGAACCCATGTTTTGCATTGGCAGTCGGATTCTTGACCACTGGACCACCAGGGAAGTCCCCAGTGGACCCCAAATTTAAACACTGTAGAGTTTAAAAATTACCTTCTAAGAGTTGTTAGTTTTTCAGGAGGAATACTGATACAATTTTTTTCTTTAATAATAAACATATGACCAAATGGAAACAATAAAGCTTTTTGCAGCAAATAATAACAATAATAAACATATGTGGAAAGTGAGTCAATTTAAAGAAAATGACTGCATATGTACAGCAGAAATAGCAAGAGGTACAAAAATGCCTGACGTTTGGGAGATACTCATCTGGCCTCCAGAGGTACCTACGGTATAAGAAAAAGAATCAGAGGGACTTCCCTGGTGGTCCAGTGGTTAAAACTCCTTGCTTCCACTGCAGGGTGCACACAGGTATGATCCCTTGTGGGGGAACTATTAATAAGATCCCACATGCTGTGCCGTATGGCCCAAAACCAACCAAACAAAATAATCAGAAAAAGGATAGCTGGGCACGAGGGGAGGGAGGATTGGATGAAGGTGGTCAAAGGCACAAATTTCCAGTTATAAGATAGATAAGTACTAGGGATGTAATGTACATGATAAATATAATTAATATTGCTGTATGTTATATATGAAAGATGTTAAGAGAGTAAATCATAAGAGTTCTCATGACAAGGAAAAAATATTTCTTTAATTTTGTATTTAAATGAGACAGTGTTCACTATTGTGGTAGTCATTTCTGATTTATGTTAAGTCAAATCGTTATGCTATACACCTTAAACTCATACAGTGTTGTATGTTAATTATATCTCGATAAAACTGGAAGAAAAAAAGAAAAAGAATAGCTAGTATTTTTTATGAACTGACTAGATCAGTCAGATCATGTCACTGCTCTGCTCAAAATTCTCCAATAGATTACTATCACACTTTTTGTTTGATATATTTTTGTAATAGCTTTATTGAGCCGTAATTCACTAATTCACATCACCCACATGAAATGTGCAACTCAGTAGTTTCTAATAGGTTCACAGAACTGTGCAACTGAACCACAGGTTCAGAATACTTTCATCGCCTCTAAAAGAAATCCCATACCACTTAACAACCGGTCCCCTTTCCCCACCTTCCTGTCCCTGGTCTATTTCCTGTCTTTGCAGATTCATTTATGCAGTCAGCAGTTGTGGACATTTTTTCCTATCTTTCAGCTATCATGGTGTTCTGAACACTCATGTACAGGTCTTTGCGTGTATATGTGTAAGTTTCATGTTCTTTTGGGTATATGGAATGCTGGGTGATATGGTAACTCCCCATTGAATTTTTTGAGGAAACTGCCAGATTGTTTTCCAAAGTGGTTACACCATTTTACATTTTTATCAGAAGTGTGTAAAGGTTCCAGTTTCACCACACTATCACCAGCACTTTTAAAATTATTACTGCAGCTCTCCTAGTAGTGTGAAGTGCTATCTCACTGTTTACTATCAGACCTTGAGTAGAGTCCAGAGTCTGCCAGGGCCTAAAAGGCCCCATGTGATCTGGACCTGTCTTTTAATATATTTTTAGTATCTGTCTACCTGCTGGCTGCGTTGGGTCTCTGCTGCAGGACGCGACATCGTCACTGTGGCGTGTGGACTCCAGGGCACTTGGGCTCAGAGGCTGGAGCTTTCTAATTTAGTTGCCCCTCGGCACTGCCTGTGGGATCTGAGTTCCTGGATCAGAAATTGAGCTTGTGTCCCCTGCAGAGGAAGGTGGATTCTTTTTTTTTTTTTTTTCATTCAAGAGGGTATTAAATCTTTTATTGATTACACATGATAATGGATGATACACAAGCTTCATTCCCATCTATAACTTTTATCTGGTACCATAATTCAATTTAGATATATTGCATAGGATGTGCCAACAATCATTAATAACCAAAAAAAAAAAAAAAAACTCCATGACTTTGCATGGGTGACCCTTTTAATGGTGAACTCCAGGTCACAACACAGTAACTGTCAGTTCAACTACACCAAAGTTCTGAAGACAACAGCTTCTCCACCAAGCAGGTTGTAAATAAATTTCAAATGGAACCTGGCATCACCCTGAAGGAATTCTAAGTTCACACTCTTGGGGTAGTTTACCAAAATGGCTTCAGAGTAGACCAACTTTACACAGCACATTAAAAAAAAAAAAAAGACATTTATTCAGCATCATGATCAGACTATTACATTTAGCAATCAACAGCATGGGTGCAAAAAAAAAAAAAAATCTACATTAAAACCCTTTGTTGGAATGCTTTACACTTTCCACAGAACAGAAACTAAAATAACCTGTTACACAATTAGTCACAAGTAGAGTCCTCGAGTTTTTTGCCCATACACATGAGTATTGTCTAAAACACGTCTTCTTTGCAGCAGCTAGGCCCTGCCACCACTGTGCTTGGCTGAGTTCACAAATCCGTTGTAACCTGCAGCTTCCCTGTCACTTCTCCGGCTCTCCTGTCCTGCTAAGCTTTGTTTCCTGGCAGTGATTAAAACCCTCTGCCCCTGCCATAGCTACTTCTGCTGCTGGAGCCACCACAGCCACCTTGGTTTCGTGGTTTGGCAAAGTATTGGCCTCCACCACCATAGGGGCCAGAACTTCTGCCTCCGAAGTTTCCTCCTTTCATGGGTCCAAAATTTGAAGATTGATTGTTGTAATTGCCAAAATCATTGTAGCTTCCGCCACCTCCAAAATTGCTTCCGTCATTACCAAATCCATTATACCCATCCCCACTGCCACCATGTCCGCCACCACCACGGCTGCCACCAAAGCCACCTTGACCACTGAAGTTTCCTCCACGACCAAAGTTGTCATTCCCACCAAAACCGCCTCCACGACCGCCACCAAAGTTTCCAGAACCACTTCGACCTCTCTGGCTGGATGAAGCACTAGCCATCTCTTGCCTAGACAGGGCTTTTCTCACCTCACAGCTGTGGCGATTCACAGTGTGGTATTTCTGAATGACAATCTTGTCTACAGAGTCGTGCTCATCAAAGGCTACAAAAGCAAGCCTCTCTTTTTGCCACTGCCTCGGTCAGTCATCATTTCAGTCACTTGAATTTTGCCATACTGTTCAAAATAATCTCTCAGGTGATGTTCTTCAGTGTCTTCTTTAATGCCACCAACAAAAGTCTTTTTCACAGTTAAGTGGGCCCCAGGTCTTTGAGAATCTTCTCTTGACACGGCCCTCTTCGGTTCCACAGCTCTTCCGTCCACCTTGTGTGGCCTTGCATCCATGGCCGCATCCACCTCCTCCACCGCGGCGTATGCGACAAACCCGAAGCCTCTGGAGCGCTTGGTGTTTGGACCCCTCATCACCACACAGTCTGTGAGCGTCCCCCATCGCTCAAAATGGCTCCTCAGACTCACGTAAGTTGTTTCAAAGCTCAGTCCTCCGGTGAAGAGCTTCCGCAGCTGTTCGGGCTCTCTGGGAGACTCTGATTTAGACATGACGGCAGTGGAGGCGGGGAAGTCTTCCACGATGCTTTCCCGGTGGCGTCCACGGGCAGAAAGTGGAAGGTGGATTCCTGACCACGGGACCCCAGGGAGGCCCTCTGGACCTGTCTTCTCTAACTTTCTGTACCCGTTACACAGTCCCTTGTTTGCAACTGAAAAACCAAAACAGCTCTACAACTCGACTGTTTGAACTCATGGCAGCAAAAAATAGTCTTCCTTTTTTCTACTTAACATGACCATTTTTGTATTTTACTGCAGAAACCCTACTGTTTGGTGCTGTCCCAGATCACTCTGGGTTTCCATGGTGGCCCAGACAGTGAAGAATCAGTCTGCTACGGAGAAGACCTGGGTTCGATCCCTGGGTCCGGAAGATCCCTTAAAGGATCCCACTGCAGTGTTCTTGCCTGGAGAATGCCATGGACAGAGGAGCCTGGGGGCTACAGTCCATGGGGTTGCAGATTCGGACACGACTGAGTGGCTAACACTTTCACATCACTTTGAGAATGTTATCTATTAAATAGTATATGGTCTGTATCACCGTTCTAAAATAAAAAAGTAATTCCAATGCAAATAAGTTTTCAAGGATTTCATTATTAATTTTTAATTGACTTTTTATTTCTTCTAGGTCCTTGTTTATTGTTTAATGTTTATTTCTTGCATATTCTCAATCTTTGTCTCCAGGCTATTTATTTGTAACTCCATTTTGTTTTCAAGATTTTGGATCATTTTTATTATCATTATTCTAAATTCTTTTTCAGGTAGATTCCCTATTTCCTCCTCTTTTGTTTGACTTGGTGGGCTTTTTTCATTTTCCTTTACCTGTTGGGTACTTCTCTGCCTTTTCATCTTGTTTAGATTGCTGTGTCTGGAGTGGGCCTTCTGTATTCTGGTGGTCTGAGGTTCCTTTTTCTTGTGGAGGTTTCACCCAGTGGGTGGGGTTGGACGATTGGTTTGTCAAGGTTTCCTGGTTAGGGAAGCTTGTGTCAGCGTTCTGGTGCGTGGAATTGGATTTCTTCTCTCTGGAGTGCAATGGAGTGTCCAGTAATGAGTTTTGCGATGGGTCTGTGTGTTAGGTGTGACTTTGGAGAGCCTGTATGTTGACACTCAGGTCTATGTTTCTGCGTTGCTAAAGAATTTGCGTGGTATGTCTTGTACTGGAGCTTATTGGCTCTTGGGTGGTGGTTGGTTTTGGTGTAGGTATGGAGGCTTTTGGATGGTCTCTTATTCCTTAATGTTCCATGTAGTCAGGAGTTTTCTGGTTTTCTCAGGATTTGGGCTTAAGTCTCCTGCCTCTGGATTTCAGTTTTATTCTTCCAATAGTCTCAAGACTTCTCCAACTATACAGCACTGATAATAAAACTTCTAGGTTAATGGTGAAAAGATTCTCCACCGTGAGAGACAACCAGAGAGGTTCACAGAGTTACATGAAGAAGAGGAGAGGGAGGAAGGAGATAGAGGTGATCAGGAGGAGAAAAGGGGGACTCAAGAGGAGAGAGACAGATCTACGCAGTTATCTGTTCCCAAAGTGTTCTCCGTAGCCCAGACACCCACAAAGATTCACAGAGTTGGATTGGGAAGAGAAGGGGAAAGGAGGAAATAGAGGTGTTCCGAGGTAGAAAACAGAGAGTCAAAAGTGGGAGAGTAATCACCACACTCCTGAATAGAAATGGGAACTGAATATTGGATTCTTAAATGACCAAAATTTTTATCACATACTACTGAAAAACAAAGATTAAAAATCTAGTGTAGAGGTTAGATTCTTTGAAATACAATATTTAAAAACAAAAACAAAAACACAAAAAAAAAACAGAAATATATATGAAGTTTGGTTTAAAAATAGGGTTTCTCTTTTTGTTTTTTTGGCAAGGTTATAGTGAAATGAAAATGAAAATTAAGGAATAATAGAGGAGTATTAGAGGACTTTAAAAGGAAATAGGAGAGGAAAACATGAAAAAGAAAAAAAAAGAAAAAAATTTTTTTCCCCTAATTAAAAAAATCGTAAAAATATATGAAAATGAAAGTTGAGGAGTAATGGGGGAGTAATAGGGAATTTTAAAAGAAAATAAAAGAGAAAAAATAAAAAAAAAAAGAAAGAAAAAAACATTTTTTTTTAATTAAAAAAAAATATATATATATCTAGGAATTTCTCTGGAGCTGTTGCGGTCAGTGTAGGTTCAGTTCAATTTCAGATAGCTCCTCTTTCCAGCTTACACTTCTCGATATCTATAGGCCCCTTCCGGTGTAGTCGGTGTTACCTTCAGGGATTTCAATCTGTTGCACCGGTCTCAAGGATTTCAAATAAAGGATTTTAGACCTGAACCACTTTCCCCCAGTCCACTGGAATTCAGCCACTGACTGCTTTGCTTTTTGTGACATGCTGCTGCTGCTGCTAAGTCGTTTCAGTCGTGTCCAACTCTGTGCGACCCCATAGACGGCAGCCCACCAGGCTCCCCCATCCCTGGGATTCTCCAGGCAAGAACACTGGAGTGGGTTGCCATTTCCTTCTCCATTGTGACATGCTAGGAGCTAATAAAGGTCCGTCTAGTCAAAGCTATGGTCTTCCCAGTAGTCATGTACGGATGTGAGTTGGACTATAAAGCTGAGTGCTGAAGAATTGATGCTTTTGAACTGTGGTGTTGGAGAAGACTCTTGAGTGTCCCTTGGACTGCAAGGAGATCCAACCAGTCCATCCTGAAGGAGATCAGTCCTGAATACTCATTGGAAGGACTGATGCTGAAGTTCTAATACTGTGACCACCTGATGTGAAGAGCTGACTCATTGGAAAAGACCCTGATGCTGGGAAAGATTGAAGGTGGGAGAAGGGTACGACAGAGGATGAGATGGTTGGACTGTATCACCGACCCGATGGACATGAGTTTGAGCAAGCTGTGGGAGATGGTGACGGACAGGGAAGCCTGGTGCACTGCAGTCCATGGGGTTGCAAAGGGTCGGACACAACTGAGCAACTGAACTGAAGCGAGGCATACTCCTGCCTCAGGCCATTTGTAGTTATTATCTCTGCTGAAGAGCTATTTCTCCATTTATGTAAATGGCTGCTCTTTCACTTTTTCTAATCGTCATCTATCAGTCTGACTAGGCCATCCATATACAACTGCAGCCCTTCCTCAGGCCTAACCACCCTCTCACTCCTCCCCAACTAAAATGTAAAGCTCTGAGACCAGGGTCTTGGTCACCACTTATGTCTTTAGCACTTAGAAATGTTGGCACATAGAAGGTTCTCAGTATGTCTTGAATAAAAGATCATTTTGTATCACTTAAGCCACATCAAAATACTGATATAGGAATGACTGTCCTAAAGATTAGAAAATTGAAGACAGAGGTTAGGTAACTCACCCAAGGTCACATAGTACCAAGTATGAGAGGTGAGATTTACATTTAGAAGTCAGCTCTCTTAAATCAACTAGACACTTTTTTTGTGTATTTATTTAGCTGTGCCAGGTCTTAATTGCAGCACACAGGATCTTTCTAGTTGCAACTTTCAAACTCTGAGCTGCAGCATGTGGGATCTAGTTCCCTGACCAGGGATTGAACCCAGGGACCCTGCATTGGGAGCAGTCTTAGCCACTGATCACGAGGCAGTCAGATGCTTGTTTTAATAGAGAACTCGGACTCAGAAACAACACACCCATACATGCTAAGTTACAGAGAAAGAGGAAAACAAAAATGAAAAGCCAGGAATTGAGGTTGAAGGAAGGGATGGTCCAGGACCTCAGTGAAACCTGGTTACCACAGGGAATTAACCTGAAATTCAGTAACCTCACAGGTGGACATTGGACCAATGACTGAAGAGCCCAGAAGCTTCTACCTGGCTTGAATGCTTTTTTTTGGGCTTGAATACTCTTCACCAGAAATGTTAGAGGTGAGGTAGTGAGACTGCAATCCTCCCCCTAATAGGCCATTAAAACAGGCTGGCGGCAAGGGTAAGCGGCAAGGGCTCAAAGATCTGTAATCATGTTCTTTGCGACTATTAAAAGAATCAGCCCACAAGAGCTTAAGAACAGACCACTCATCTTGCAGTGCAAATACCTGAAAATGACCTGTGGGCCACTTTCGATTTAAGTGGCTTTCTTTTCTAGGATAAATTATGGATGTCTATATAGGGCTTAACTTTACCACAGGTGGAACATTAGATATCCTGGTTGCCCATTAGACACACTTCTACTAATGGTAGACTGGGAGGTGGGGTGGGGGTGTTTTAGAGCCTGAAACATGTGGAGTCGTTTTTTTTCTGGCAGTCAAAAGTCAGAGATTATCTTCTAGTAAACAGCTACACCAATTCTTAGCCTTCAGGCTCTTGAATCCTTGGAGACAGGATTATACTTTGCACATTAATGCATTTTTAAACCCATAGGAGAGCCAAGGATAGGCTGTGCCTACCTATAACCATCTCAAGAGATATCTCACAGCAGTTATATGGTCCAGATTTACTACTTGAATCTGGTTTTACTGAGCGAACTGGGATTTGGGACCACCAGGTTTACCATTTTTTCACCATGATCAGGACTTTCTTCAATCCAATGTTTTATCCTTGGTGTGAAGGGGTCATAAGCAGAGGAATGAAGGAGCACAGACATTTGGGGGGCGGGGGGTCTCCCGAAAGGATGGAAACCCACACCCACAGTGTTCTAACAAATCCAGGACTTGTTACACCTGTTTCAGCACATGCAGGAGTATGTGGACCATAAGCAACACAGGATCAACAATTGCCAACTGGGTTTCTTTAGTTAAAGGTTCTCCCATTAATAGGACCACCATTATGCTCCGAAACACTCCACCCCTTCTTTGCCATCATATCCTTTAAATATAGACATTTGCAAAAATGTGTTTCCCAGAACAATATATACTTTAATCCAAACTTCCAAGCTACTAGTTTAGCTTAAGGAAAAAAAATCATATAACCTAACCAGCAAAGTCCTTAGCAAACTATTTACATATTAATTTTTCAAATATATGTGTACATTTGACCCTTGAAT